CTTTCATAAAGGACTGGCCCCTTTGCATACCCCTGGGTCAGCAAAGTGAGCCAGATTCTTCCATGGTGTAGCTCAAACAATCTCTGCCCAATTTACTCCAAAGACAGCTTTTGACTGCAATCTTTGACTCGACCTCAGTCATGTGTGGCTTCCTTGCTGCTTCTGGCAAAGGAGCCAAAACCTGGAGCGTGTGGGTGTGTGACTGCAAATGGTTCCTGCCAGGCTGCTGCAACACAGTGTCTAATCAGCACAGCTCTAAAACAAAGCTGGGCAGGCGAAGTTACCAGTGACCAAACTAGACAGCCTGAAGGGGGAAGGAGAGAAAAAGGGTTTTTATTTCAGCATACAGAGGCTGAAAGGCTTTCAGCTCATGAACAATACTGACAATACAAAATTAAGGCTGCTGTGAGCAGTTCTTTGTCCCTGCCTTGAAAATAACCAAACTTAGTAAATTTATACTTGTGGAGTGCATTTTCTTTTTTGAAGCAGTCAGCCAGCCAACCGCTGCAAACACACCTGCGATACCATCTAAAAGGCAGCTGTGTTTATGGAATTATTCAAAACCCTTCAGACCTCTTAGCCAACTGAGAGCTTTCCTCACAGATTTTCCTATGGATCAGAAAATGTGTTCTCAAGACTTTGCTGTCATGGCTGGTAATGTCCTGGGTGTAAAATAAGGTGGGAGGGTTATTCCATCCGTTTCATTAAAGAACAGGATAAGCAGGGAGGGAGAGATACCAGGGCTCGGGTCCATGCAAATGTGGTGTGGAGGAAACCTTGGCTCCATCTACTCACCTTATCCAATGCCAGGCCTGTTACCAGTGGACCAAGGCAGAAGGGGAAGAAATGGAAGAAGTCCTGTCCAAGGCTCTCGCTAGTTCCTGCCCAGCCTCTCCTACCATAGCTGCTTCCTGGGATTTCAGAGGAGCCCTGGTAAAATGCTATCTACTAAAACAAAACCCTCTGTCAGAATGCTTACAAGTGCAAAACTCAATTTGCATCAATAATTCCGTAATACTCTGGAATCAGAAAATGTAGTTTATATAGTAAGTCCTCCTGCGTCATCTAAGCTATTTATCATGTGACTAGCCGTGCCTTACAGTAAGGTGCTTTCTCTTCTTGGTTCTGGATGTAGCACTGGCAGTTAAAACAGAGGTAAGGTTGCTTCAGAGTGGTGCAACACTTCTGTTGGAACACAAGAGTAGGGCATTTGTGAGTCTTCTTCCCCCCCCCCCCTTCACATCTTGTTTCTTCAACGATCTCTGCAAGCTTGAGCTTGCTGTAGCATGGAGGTACTGCTCAAAAAGTTGACTTGACCCTCTGTAGGCTAAGGTGACCCAGAGAAGAATTGGGTGTTGCCTGCTGTGCTGAATCATGTCCCTGTGTTCCTGAATTTATTTAAAACATATAAGTAATGAAATCACAGTTCTGCCTGATCCTTCTTCTAAAACACTGCCATATTGAACTTCCTAGGCATGCTATGCTTGTCCTCAAGAGGGAGACCCTTTCCAGAGCTCAGCTGCCTGAAACATGTACTATACAGATAAAGATGTGGAACAGTGTAACTTTTTGAGGGATAAAGGGGGATAACTTTGCTACCCGCTTACAGTCATTAAAACAGCAATAGCTATCTTTTTTTAAATGCTAAGTCTTCCAGTAAGAAAACCCAAAACTTTTTATAGCATTACAGACCTTCAATCCTATGGCACAAAGACCTGCTTCTGTGCACTGTGTGTTTAAACTTTCTTTTTTCATTGTAATGATGACCAAATTGGAAAGAGTAATGCAGACAGCGATGTAGCATAATCTACAGCAGTTCTATCACTATGAACCATGAAAGCTATAAACAAAGACAGGGAAAACACAAATGAACTAAGGGGAATTTTTCCCCTTTCTCCTTTTCTCCACCTCTAAACCTGGGTGGGAAAAGGCACTATCTTACAAAAGGCAGTGTCAAGCACCATACCTAGCATACAAAACAGAGTGAATGATTGGACAGATCATTGCAAAGGAATTCCTAAGCCAAATTTTGAAAAATGCATAAACCCTTTAAAAATAATCAGTATACAATCACAATGCAAAAGGAACATAAAGGGGCTTTTTTGGAATTTCACATATTCTGGCCACCCTTCCCTCCTGCCCCACCCCTCATAAATCCATTTTTGCATGCTCTGGGAAGTCCAGTTCTACATCCTCACAGAGTAAGTGAATGGTGGGCTAATACTGTTAATTTATGAGATCCTGGAGCTCCTCATCAGTCAGCTCATTGACTTCCATGATCTTTTCCAAGTGCTCCATATACCGGGCATGGTCTTGCAAAAAGTGTGGTACCCTCATGTTCTCGATCACAGCTAATCCTTTGAGGCGGTCCACATCCTCATACGAGATCTGTAAGGAAGACATGGATTAATTTCCCACTATAGTCCTGTTACTTCTCTGCTGTGGCTCTAAATTCTCTCTTGTTGATGAGAAAAAATTTCAGAGCCGGAGGATTTAAAAGCTTGTGAGATTCCTTTGAAAACACAAGTAACTGTACCTCAGTGGAAGATGCAAAAAAAATGTGATTTTTTAGCAAATGCCTCCATACTTCCCAATTCTGCTTTTGATTCAGTCAGTGAACAGACTCACAGGAACCTGAATGAGAATGACCTACAGCAGCTTCAGGAATAGAGAAGGAAAGGATGGAGCACTTGTGAGTCTTCGAGTCTCTCCTCAAAGAGGTGGAAAGATTGACATGAGAATGGAAAAAACACGGTGCCAAAGATTGAGGAACCAGAAAGGGAGTGCAGGACAGGCATGGCACAGGCTCCAGCTTTGGGAAAGGCATGGTGCCAGCTGACCTGAACTCTGATGTTTTCATTAGCTTATGCAAAGCTAAATTAAAATGCACCTCTAGTAATTAACTACAGCATGGGCAACTTAAGCATCCCAATTTTTTTTTTTTCCCAATCAATAGCAGGGCAGAGACTGGGTTTGCCTCTTGGCATCAGAGCCTTCTGGGTATAGGTGTGACACTCTCAAACGTTTTCCAGCTACTACAGGGCCTACTACTTGTTTTCTAATGAAAGCTGAGATTTTTCTCCATAGTCTTATCGTTCTATGAGCTAGGACTTCAAGTCTTGAGTTCACAGTAGCTCAAGGTGCTGTGAATGACAGTCCAGAAAGGATGAATGCTTTGGCTGTGCAATAGCTAGACAAGCTGCTCTGCAAGCACAGAACAGGACTCCTTGGGCAGCTGTCCAGCATGATGAAATTTATGTGGTTGCCGCTTTGTCTCCAGGCTGCGTGTTCTGGGCACCCTACAGAAAGAAGCATATGTACCGGCAAAACCCACAAGCCTGGCTGTGCTTACTAACTGGCACATCCTATTTCCTCACAGCAGGTTTGTGCCAGGTGGCTTGAGAATGGAGCCTGCTCCTTCCAACCTTTTTACCCCGTGTTTCTTCTAAGGAGCTGAGCCCTGCACGGTCAGGGTTCCCTGGAAACAGCCTGCCCTCTTTGCAGGTGATGGTTTCTATCTGGGAAAGATTAAAGTGAGCACAAATGATCCACCAATGTGTAAGGGGCATGGAAGGGCTCTCTGGAAAGATAGGACTATGTAATCCAGATTGCTAAACCTGATCCGTAGATGCAGTCAGAGATAGATGCATATCTTGCTGAGGATAATGGGAACAAAGTCCACAAAAAGAATGAATTTGCCCCTGGGTACATGTGTGCTTTTCTAGCTGCAATGACAAGATGCATCCTGATTAAAAAAATGAACATACACCCATGCCCAGGCTTATTCAAGTCACTGAGATACTGCTGTTTGAAGATGGTGTGACATTACACCTGATTAACGTATTTAGAAGTAGATACAGAGGAGCTATACAAAATCATACCATCTCCTCTCAGTCTGGAGACACGACACCAAATGAGATTAAATACTGACCTTCCTTCCTGTCCCAGCTTGAAATTCTACCTCTTTTCCTCTCAAAGGAAAGAAAAAGGACCCTTTCCCCCCTTGTATTTATTTTCAGGGTTTTCTGTTACTGCTGCAACCAAGAAATAAGTATCTGTGATCTGAGGTATGGTTTGAATGGGATGTATTTCCCCAGTCCTTGCAATTGCAAAAAAATGACAAAAGTTGACATCTTGAGGAGGTCAAAAACATAATCTCATCCTACTGCAGCAACAGGTTGTCTTCCTTACTACATGTAATTAAAATCATTGTACTAGCTAAAAAAGACTGAGGCTAAAACAGGCTTACTTAGGCTGTTTGCAATGTGTTCACATTCTTGGGAAACACAATAGTAGGTGACAGTTTGCTGCTTTTGCTTTTTAAAACTCTGGTAGTTATGCTATACTAAAGTGTACCAATATCTGCATTCTATTTCTCTTTAATATTACTTGCATTCGATTATTACATGAATGTTTTGCAGTGCTTCCCAAATTTGATTCTTTCCTGCAAAGTTTTAAAACGGCTCCTTCTAAAAAAGCATCTTTTCTCAGGCTTCAAGCTCTTTTCTTAGTCACTTCTAGGTACGCCAAAAAGCTTGCTTGTGTGCTGTTTCCACGCACCGCTCTCTTCTACACTGTAAGAAATGTCAGAAGCATCAGGAAGGCATGGCTGCCTCCATCAGCCAGATCTCTAGCACTCAGATGAGAAGAGAAGACACAGAAACTTCAGCATGGCTCTGTCTTAAATACATTCACATCAGAAAGCAGTGCTCTGATTTTACAACTGTGTTAACTACCTACTAAAGCACAGAAGCAATTTGTTGTCAGCAATATAGGTGACTGCTTTCATTTCCTATTGTGTTCATAACTTTATTGTGTTGGCAGTGAAAATATGTCCAAGGTAGGCATGCTAGGAAAGATGAGCTCACTTGTTACAATACAACACTGAGAATCTTCAAAAGGCAATGAAAATTTTCCCACTAAATGCTGGGCTTCCTTATGTTTAAATCCTGTGCTTTTTCTTCTAACCTGAAAGATACTCCAGCCAAGCTTAATACTCCCTTTGGAACAACCTCATCCTCCTATTCTGCCCTAAACAAACAAATCACCCTTTAGAGTGGCAATAAATGCGTAATAACCACAGGCTAGATCTCAGTACAAGTTTCATATTTCTCTACATTCACAGAACTTGTTTTTCCTGAGAGGATATGGAGATATTGGAGCAGGCCCAGTGAAGGGTCACTAAGATGATTAAGGCACTGGAGCATCTCTCCTACAAGGACAGGCTGAGAGAGCTGGGACTGTTCAGCCTGGAGATGAGAAGGCTCAGGGGGATCTTACCAGTGTGCATAAATGCCAATGGGAAGGAATGACAAGGGAGTCAGGCTCTTCTTGGCAGTGCCCACTGGCAGGGCAAGAGGCAATGGGCACCAGTTAAAATGCACAAAATTCAGCCTGAACGCAAAACTTTTTTTTATGGTGAGGGTGGTAAAACACTGGCACAGGCTGCCCAGAGAAGTGGTGGAGTCTCCATCAGGAGAGATATTCAAAGCCCAACTGGATGTGGTCCTGGGCAACCTGCTCTAGTTGACCCTGCTTAAGCATGGGGGTTGGACTAGATCATCTTGAGAGGTCCCTGCAGATCTCAACCAATCTGGGATGCTGACAGCAGGCACTGCTCTTATACACAAATTTCCAGTTTGATTGCAGATGTGTGCAGCAAAAACACTCAGAGCAGACTTTAAGATCCCTTGATTTTAGAAGTTGTAAAGTCAAGCACTTTTAAATTATCATACTGCTAGAATTAAATTGCTTGTAGACCCTTAATGTGGATGCCTTGCCATGTAGATTATAGTGGACTCTGTAATTATATGAAGAATGACTTACTATGTTTTTGAAGTGGCTTGACAATCCTGTAGACTCCCTGAAGAGAGAAAGGGGTAAGGCAGTGCAGGAACAGTATGTGCTCAGTAGTTTAGCAGACAGAAGCTGTGTTGAGTTAACCAGGCTTAGAGCAAAAGGAAGTTTTAGAGAATAAAGTTACAGAGACTTATTTGACAGTGTGATTTTATTTTCAGAGCTTCCTGACTTGGTTCAGTTACCTAAATAGCTCTGCTCACCAGTGTTTCTGACACTAATAGCAAAACTTCTTTAATGTGGACCAAAACCCTCTACCATAATATGCCACTTCCCTTTATCATCCATTGATTGCGAAGTAGGCAGAAATGTTGGTATACCAGCTCTAAATGCAGGTATAACAACATAAATTTGGATGCTGGTTTATGTGAATATGAACCCTGCTTTATGAACTGTGGAAACTTAGCAATCCAAGGATCTGGTTCAGGAAGTGTGACAAAGTTTCCGCACACTTTAGTATGATTTTGAGAACAAACAAGCAATGACAGTTAGAATGGACATAAAATATGTTCTGTGAATATAGTAATACCATGTATTCTGGGGAAAAAAACCAAACTGATATTTGAAAAACATCAGAGGTGCCACCAGGGAGAGAAATTTGAGATGAAAAACTCTTTGTGGTAGAAGGGGATGCATTAGCATCAAATGGTTAATTTTGTTTTCTACTAGGACCACCACCTCATCTAGCACCTGTCCCACTTGCCCACAGCGGTCCGTTGTACTACAAGTCAGGCAGTACCCTGTAAAGGGAGGAAAGGAAAGTCTGAGAAATATGACCATAAAATCTTAATCTGATAAGCAAGGAATGAGAAAAAGCTGGTAGAAATTTTTAGGACCTCAAAACATTTGTAACTTGCACTGTGTAATACAAGGTGCTATACAGAACAGAGATTTCTAGATCAAAGTAAAACAGAGCACAATGACTCATAGCTCTTTACAGGCAGGCTTGCTGAAATGATAAAACTGTAGCCTTTGGTAAGAATGAGTCCACTCACCTTTCCAAGGGCTGTCAGAAGATGGAAATCAATGGACTCCCTGTATCTCAGGATTCGGAGGATGCCATCCAAGTACACCTGATCCTTATTGAAGCAGCCTAAAAGGAATCGAGATACATCACACTCTATCAGGGTTTGTTCAAGGCATATTCTCAGAAGCCATTATGAGCAGAACAATTTTATTTTTAAAAAGTAGATATTTAAATCCCAGACTTTGAAAACCTTCCCAAAAACTAACTAGAAGGCTAAACCCACTAGCCAGAGAATGAAATCAGACACAGAAGACAGTGTCTGTAAATATCAACAGCAACATTACATCTCTTGTAATAAAAATGAAAGGAGGTCAAACTGTGAGTATGAACTTTTTCATGGTTTTGCAATTTACATACCCACTTCCAACAAAAAAAAAAATCCATTACTGATTCAGTTTGAAAGTCTCTTGGATGTACATTTTCAGCCCTGTTTTCAAGAGCAGAAATCCTGCTGCCTCATTTCAGAAAGCATGGCGTCCCATTTCTCCCTTTTGCAAAGGTTTTACTGTGTGACATGATGAAGGAGCTCTGTATATGTTCTGAAAACCTCCCTGAAGTACAAAAATAGAGAAGACAAATAGGGAACCCACCTGGTTGTGATGTGTCAGTCCACCCTCTCTTAGCTCGTACGCAGTAATCCCACCTAGTATTGGGGTCCTTAACAAATTTCCCCACGTCCTGGAAAAGCTGACTGAAGGACATTTGGCTAGCCTGATATACTGTGTAGTAGAGCAGGGCAGCTCTCCAAAGAAAAGGGTCTTTGCGGAACAGGACACTGTGAATGCTTGCTAGCCCTTCTTCTGTAGGGTTGATTGGTTTTAGCCCGTGTTTTCTACGTCCGTTCCAGTTGCACCAAGGCTGGCTGTTGTTGTTAAAACCCCGAAAATAATGAGTTCCTGAAAAGAAAGGAATATGGGACTTAGAACAGTAACATCTAATGATTTTTAAAAAATTATAAAATATGGAAGGAGATGCCCATTTCAGAACTCTGAACTGCTAGGACTGGGCACTGGGAGAAGTGCAAAGTTTAGCCTTGTCTACAACAGAGAATTTTGTCAGAGCTAGATACATGGTGCAATTATTCACCTGCTGACTGCAAGTGGGACTCCTGAAAATGCGTAAGGAATACAAATGCCAGCAGGACTTGAGTTCCCAAATCTGTGGAAAGGAATTTTCAAAAGGGTCTTTCATGCTGAATGCCTTTAGCATAGGCTAGACATTGTAGTGAACAGAAGGAAGGAGAATCAAAGTAAGGAGGCAGAAATGTTGCCTCTTGAAGGTGATTAAACAGCCCTACTGCACCCTTGGAAGATGCTATATCCCTTTACAATGTGAGTAACAGTGGTTCAAGGCAATTGCAGGTCTTGTTCTTCAGTTGAAATTCAGGCACTAGCCAAGTTTATCCACTTTTGATGTACTTAATTAAAACAGATTCACTGAAAAGTTTGTAGAAATTTCCCACGGGGCTGGGCCAACCTTGTGTAATGCAAAATCAAGGCAATCTTACACCAGTTTAGGGGTTGCTGGGTAAATTCTTCATACCTAAAGCATGCCTACATTTGCAAGCAGTGCAGCATAACAGAAGAAAATTTGTAAAGTGTAATGGCTGGTGCTGAGGTTGAACGGTCACACTATTTTCATTTCCCTTTTTTTACTCCAGACTAGCTGTAAATTGCTCTCATGAGCAAAATGTCCCTGAACAGTGACAGCACAGAATGTATGCCCTGGAGCATAGCCTCTGGGCTAGCATCATCTGAAAGGGTTACACTTTGCCTGCTCCAAGGTTCTTCTGACATGTGAACCTCAGTGCAGTAAATGGGACTAGCTGGTAGACTCACTTCAAAAGCTGGCTCCTGATCTGACCTAGAATGCTAATGTACATGAACCCTACAAATCCTCAAGTGGATTATCTTCCTTTTACTGCTTGCTGCACTGGTAAATAGGTTTCTCTTTCCCTATTGCACACCTACAGCATAGGTTCTTTAGACAGGGGCATTCCTTCCTTCTGTATATGTGCAGTGCTTGGCCCATCATTGCAAAATAAGTAAGAATGCATGCAAGTACTCCCCTTTGCCTGAAGAACTGATGTCATGCTCATACCAATTTCATGTCTCAGCATCCCTTCCAGCCAGTGCTCTCGTGCAGTGGAGATATTGATAGTGAGAGTGGGGCGGCCATTCACCACTGTCATTGAGGCTCGAGATAGCAGGTCCTCCGTGAGATGGACCACAATCTGAAGATGAGAGAGTTCAGGTAGCAAAGACCTCTCTTCTCCCTCCTGTTCCTGCTTTTTCCTTTGGCCCTTCCATTATTTCATTTCTCTTTGGTCCCTTGCCCTTCACAACTCTTCCTTGCTACCAGCAATCACCTACGAGAGACACTTCTGACTCCACTGAGTTACCCTAGTCATCTGTGCTGCTGACAAAACCTCAGACTTTAGTAGGACTCAGCATGAGAGTTAAGATAGACAGCCATGAGACTGCAAAATTTAATATGGTAACACTGACTAGATTCAGGGGGCAGGGAGCAATCATATGCAGAGTAAATCAGAGGCAATTCTATTTTTTGAACTGTGTCTAATTATCTTGGTATTACTGAGAACTGAAAAATATTAGATAAGCACACATAAATTGACTAGTTATCTATATGCTTAACTTTTTAGTTGCAATTCTGAAGCCACATGAATGAGAGGGGGAAGTACTGTGTACTTTGTTTCCTGATACATGATGCAGCCTTGAAATATTATTAAAATACTGGTATTGTTTTGTTTTATACAGGAATGTAGTTCTTGTTTTCATGTTTTCTCTTGGAAAATTGGTAATCAAAACCAAAATTGCCAGAGAAGGAAATTAATGCATATTGATATATTTTGTTATTTGAGTTTAAAAAGACTTTTTGAACAAGTGAGTGGGAGGGAGAAGGGAAACTCTCTTTGTTGAAGACTAAGCACCTTTCCCTCTTCATGTAATGCCTAAAGAAACAGTACTGCTTAGAAGAGTACAAAGGAGAGTACCTACAAGAGAGATCTTTTTTTTTAAATATCAAAGTTAACAGAAAAGGACCCAGGGATCAAAGGCATTAACATGACACTTCCCTGTATTCAAAACCCACCATTCAGCTTCAAGTTCAACAGCAAACAATCAGTCCCATAAAATTTGTATTTAAGACACAGGAAAGATAGGTAAATCCCAAAGCATTTAGATTTAAAGCACAGGTACCACTTAGCTTTATTAAGATCTCTTCAACTGGAAAGAGTACTTTCATAATATTTTAGACCATACTAAGCATGATGTATTACCCCTATTTTTGCAGAAAAAGTAAAGCATTTCATTAAGAAGGACATGGAATGTTTGATGAGGGTGTAGGATCCTGCTTCCATGAAGACAAACCAAGACAAAAATGAATGCAAAGGGAGATAAAGCACAGCAAAGACCAAAATTATAATTTTTTCTGCTTGCTCTAAACTGTAGTTTTATAACCTCACTCTTAGAAACACAAGTCTAGTATCAGTGTCAAATTATAGTCTCCCAAAAAGGTGTGACAAGTTTAACCGTTTCTCCTAATAATATTATGTTTACTAATTAAACCTAGTTTCTGGGAAACTAATTTTTGTCTCTTGAGCTCACATTCCAGACTCTTCTTGCTCATTGCCAGTGATCTCATCCAAGTCTTGGACTCTGTCAGCTGGTGTTTTCATTTGGAATAATTCTCTTTTTATACATTCAATTTCATCTGATTCTTCCAAGCAATTCTATGTAACTCAGTCAAACTGGACTTCTTAAATCCCAAATATAGGAAGTAAGATTTTCACACAGGGCTCTAAAAAATTAGCTGGTTAAAGTCAGGAAAAACCAGCACTCAAACCAACTCAACAAGCCAACCTCTTTCAGACATTTTTATTCACTTATGTCACTTTCATTTGTGTTGCTTCTTATAAATCAGTCTCTTGGGCTGCTGCTTATTTTTCTTGGCCTTTTCTTAACTCTTTCCTTTGGTGTAAATAATCTGACACAAGAGAACGGATGGCAGAACTGATGAATAAATGGAAATGTGCTAGTCTCCAAGTAGCTGAAAAAAGGAGGGAAGGAAGGGTGTCGTTCTTGGGTACTCCCAAAAGAGATGAGTTTAAGAACAAGCATATATGAATCAGAAAACAGGCTCAGAGGTGGCTGAAGCATTCACAAGGAATTTGCATCATTTCAATTGTTCAAAAATTAGACTGGGCACAGCCATGAGAAAAATATGATGCAAGGAATATTCTTGTAATTATGGAGGAAAGGCCTTCCAAATGGCTCCTCTGGTCCATCCATGGGTAATTTCTAAGATCTGCATAAATGTTTCTTTCCTGATCGATTGTATGACTTACCTCACCAAGACAGCCTTCTTTCACCATATATTTCCTGACGTGATTCCAGATGCGACTTTTGGTCAGCAAGCTGCCTCCAGTGGCCTGTTCAAATTTTTCATAGCTTCCGTATTTCTGCAATGTCCGCTCCATAATGTTAATGGACTATAAATTACAAAAGCATAGCAAATATGAATGCAGTAAGACCCCTGTGTCAGACTGGCATGTGTATATTCTCTCTCTCTCTCTCTCTCATTTTAATCTTCTTTTTTAACTCATTGGGAGTCACTATCAAACTGTAGTCATTAGATACAGGCTGACACACTTTGTAATCAATTTATACCATCTTCAGACATACCTTAATGCCAAAGTACTGGAAAAAAATTCTGATCAACTCATCTTGGACCCACATACATCAGCATGACACAGATGATTATCAGTCTAGTGAAATAATACCCATTTTCTCTTTCATTTTGGGAAATGTTGTACAACTGCCTTGTAAATCAGACACAACAGGTCACAAGGACATTTGCAGTTTAAGTTGTCAGCATGTTTCTTTTTATGGCTTTCCAAAGAATTTTACAAAGATCAACTATTCCTGTCATCTTGCTTCATTTCTTGGTATTTTCTAACTTAGGAATTCTGAACCACGATTAAGCAGATGTGTAATTATAATTTTAATGGTAATATTTCTACTAAAAATGTCTCTTCACGATGAAATCCTCTGTACCACAGGTGTCTGCTTCAGAAAGGAGGAAAGAGAACAGGAACTTTATTGACAGAACTTTCATTTAAACCTTTCATTTATATCACAATACTTTATAACCCCCCAAAATGAAGGAGGCATGTTTCTTTAGACAAATAAAGTGGCATCAACAATCCCCTTGCGCATTACTGCTAGAAGAAGTCACTTGTGGGTGGAAAGCAGAGCACAATGCCTATAATGTGATCTGAACTCTGCATGTTGAAGATGTTACTGGCGGGGTGCAAAATGTTCATTCCCAGCAATCTACTCCCCAACATGTCATTTCATACCCTTAAAAGAAAATGTGGTATAGAATAACTTCTTGTCCAGCAATAGCCCAGCTACAGGGAATGGCTTTTTTTCATAGATTATGGTAACAGAAGCTCCCAAGAATCTCACGGAGAAAAAAATATTACAGATATTACCTTAAAAAATGAATGTCCTTGCTAAGAAAATACCACTAATGATGAAGGTGGCAATCTCGGAGACTGAATCTCTTTTTACATTGTACACTTATATCCATGCACAAAGCTAGTAAGATGGTTGTTGTTTCCAGTTATGTAATTCTGACGTTGTCAGATTGGCTTATTGTCCACAAAAATAGGATTAATTTTGTACCTCTCACAGCTACTAACAATCCTATTCTAATTTTTTTCAAGTTAAAACTAAGAAACCCTGAGTAATTGCTACTGAAAGCCATAAATGCTAGCTAGATGTATTCTTAAAGTTCTACAGCTCTTTGATGAGAGAAATATCACTTACATGAATGCCAGAGAAATACTGCACCTAATGTTTAGCATTTCTTTGTCTGTCTCTAATATTTGTTATTAAATTTGAAGGGCCTCCTGGTCAAATCTGAATTTCTTTTTCAAGAATGAAGAAAGCAGCATAAATTACTACCTTAACACAGATTAAAAGAAAAAAAAGGTTTAGCTTAAAGAAGGCTGTTGTTTTGGGGGGTTAAGCAGTCTAGAAGCAAAGAACCTACCTACTGTGTCTCACTGCTGTGATCTCTATCGCCACTGCACCTGAGTCTCCACAGTAAGTTTTTATTTACATGGATAGCATTAATACTGAATCAGAAAGTCCAAGATCTATACCACCGGTTCTTCAGGGACAGCCCAGCAGCACTGCAATATGTTAACTCACAGAACTTGGCCAAAAAGTCAGTGCACGTGGCCTCACAAGAATGGTAGAAAAAGGCTCGCCATAAAGCCACCCAGTGGTGTTACATGAACCCTGCCTCCTTTCACTGTCTTCTGTGTGGCCGAAACTCCGTAGCCACCATGCTAACTCCAGCAGTAGTTTCAGCCTTCACAGGGACTTGCACTGGACCCCCTGGGGGCCCGGTGACATTTGGCTGGTTCTCAGGATCTGGCCCATTTGGGCAGCTGTGCCCTTGCACTTGCTGAAGCTAGGAGTGAGAAGCAGTTCTTATGAAGAAAGGCACCAACAATGAACACATTCTTTTATTTTTCAAGTTTTCTTTATAAGATTAGGCGCCAGGATGTCTGCAGAGAGGCATTATAAAAAGAGGAATGCTGTGCCACCACCTGAGGCACCGCAAATGATTTGGCTTTGCCTCTCCCTGTAACAACACTGCAATGAGCACATGTGGTGGCACAGCTCCATGCTGTGTGTTACACAGCCCCGCTTGGCACCAAAGGTAATTCCCTGGAGAATCAGTAGGCACCTTGCTGACCTTTGGCTCGATTGTTTGCAGAGAAAATAAATCCTACTGCTCCTAAAGACAAAAGGTGATAGGACTGCTGCTATGAAAACTGCAATGTCCTTCTGCAACTTAAATCATGTTTTTCAAGATGAATGTATTAAAAATAGAGGATACACCCTCATCTGGTGCAAACGGGGTAGCTCTGGCGTCATTTTGCTGACCCACTGCTGTAGGTATTTGACAGAGGTTCAGTGCTGTTATTTTTGCTGTTACTCCCATTAACTTATTGCACAGAAGTATGAGTAAGGACAACTACACATCTGTACTGGTGACCTACGAGTTAAATGGGATTTTGGTGTCAAGTCTTAACATTGCTTGTCACCTAAAAATGACCTCAGATAAATGAAGCGAGGTTAGTGTCTAAGTATTAAAAAAAAGAATACGAGTCCCTCATGCAAGGCCTAATGTTTCTGGAGACTAATGACACTTTTTTCTAGCAAAATTTAGGGTCAAGGGCTAGCTGTAAAGAACAAATCAGAGCAAAATCTAGTTCTTGTTTAATAGCTTGTATATTTTACCAAAGGATTTTTTCCTTTTTTTTTAATTACATATGAATTTTTAACTTCTAAAAGCATTGGCTGTTTTATAAGTTTTTCAGTGTCTGCAAATGCTGAGGCATTTTCCTGCCTTACACAAAATCCTTGGTTAAAGAAGCAACCAAAAATTCCTATCCCTATCCCAGGAAATTCATTCTCAGCCCGCAGCCTGAGTAATTAATGATAACAGTTCTTCTGTTTCCTTTGCAAGGTGCCAGATCCTTAAGATACTTATGTTATCTACTAGTTGTTTGGTGTATCTGGTTTCTCTGAACAATTAATTAACTTTATTTGCTCACTCTGAAAGAAGTCATCTCTGAATTAACCTTCTGGCATGAAATTTGTCTTCACAACTTGTTCATATTAAATTTCAGTTAAGTCTATTAGATTAAACACCCTATGTACCCACTTAAATTCTTGGACACTTCAGTTTCTTTGAATGTGCACCAGTGATTTCCATTCCTAAAGAGACTTGCTGCCCAGCAGCACCACGTTTCGTCTCCTGAACTACTTCCTTTTCTCCCCATCTCTTCCTGTGGCCAATTCTGTCTCTCAGTAATAAATTCTGGAAAAAAATCATTATAATTAATAGCATTTTATAAAAATCACAGTGAGATGAAGCATTAAGATGCAACAGGGCTTACCAGAGAACCACAAACCCTGGGGGAGCTACACTATGCAGTGTCCCCCAAGCCCTCACTTTCTGATAGGCCTTTCTATGTTCAAATGTACAGTTGTACAGAATGGCAATTCCCCTCAAAAGTTTTCAGTAATATGATTTAAAACACAGTAGATCCTGTGGGCAGAAATATTTCGCTTTAAATTCTCTGGAAGTTATTTACTGCAGGAACTGATGCAAGGATGATTTTATTTTCAAAAGTCACCAGGATTTGGTCCTTTCCTTTTTAAGGGTTTTTAAGGCATCTTTCAGAAAGTATCCAGCACTCAGGCTATACCTCTCTACTAGTAAATCAAAGACAAGCAGGATATTGGCTCAAGTGCTGGAAGGGGTCCATCCATTGAGCTGAACGGCTGGTTGGCCCCCAGGCACAGTGTTGCCTTAGGTGAACCAACACTCCCCTCTCAGGCAACACCTGGCTATAGACAAAGGACCATGTGGCTGTTGGCTTCCCAACAGAAGTAGGAACAAGGTCACTACATTTTGATGCCCATCCTGCCTCTCAGCAAACCAAACATCAGGTCCAGTTCAGTTTCACATCAAACAATGAAAAAAAGCTTTTCCAACAATGCGATGGCAAAGCCTTTGGATGGAGAAGAACAGGCAAGGTGATTCACAGGCTGAAGGAAACCAATGAAGATAGCAAAAGATAAGAAGTAGGCTCGAAGAATAGCAAAGATACATTACATACTTTTTGAAAAGAGTAGGATAAATCTAGAGTGCTGATCAAAGTCGAGCAGGGGTGGATGAGAGCAGGTCTGATGAAGCAGAGGACTGCCAAAACTGTTTGAGAGCAAGGGGGCAGTTTTTTCTCAATGTGAAAGCTCATAAAAATAATGGTGTTTTGAGACGGGCTTGTAAACTTTATTAACCAGTTCTCTGTTTTGATGCTGTTTATAAAGACATTACTCCTATGAGATGCAGCATTACGTAGGTTTATTCGGTGGTGTTATCCCAGAGGACCCTCCTACCTCAGAGTGCAGGTATTTTCTAAAATCACCTCACCACAATAAACAGTGAAAAAACAAGCACTGAAACGGGCGTTAAAATTTCCTGCTTGGCTGTCTGTAACAGCAAATTCCCTGGAGCTGAGACCTACGCGTGCCAAGGGAGGCAGCATGAGTTTGGGAGTCAGGAAGCCCAAGTTCTAGCTCTGCCTGCCTGCCTGCAGGCACCCTCCTGAACGTTTCCTAGGCAGTTTAAAGCTTTTCCTAAATTGCTGTGAGACACTTTAATCAACAGCACAACATGAATAGAAGGTTTTCAGATACATCCCCCTGAAGAAGCAGAGACCCACTCTGGCCTCTCCCATTTCAACCCACTGCAGTGTTTGCAGCTTCAAAAGGAAGGGTGGGATAGTGAAGGGTGCTTCCTCTACCTTATGTGCCATGCTGAGTAACCTATATCCTGGCAGTCCAGCCACCTCCAAATAGGTGTTGCAAGTTTGAACCCATGCATATTGAGAAAGTCATT